GACGCGGTTAACCTCCAAGAAGATATAAAAGTTTTCCAGTGGGCAACGGTAAACAATATGATGTTCAATGAGGACAAATTCCAACTACTCAGTTATGGAAAACTGGAGGAGATAATAACTAGAACAGAGTATACTACTGACTCCGGCCATACAATAGAGCGGACAAATAATGTAAGGGACCTGGGAGTAGTAATGTCTGAGGATCTCACTTTCAAGGATCACAACAGTGCCACGATCGCACGTGCAAAGAAAATGATAGGATGGATAATGAGAACTTTCAAAAAAAGAGATGCCAAGCCCATGATGATCCTTTTCAAATCACTTGTTCTCTCTAGGCTGGAATACTGCTGTACATTAACATCTCCATTCAAAGCAGGTGAAATCGCAGATCTAGAGAGTGTACAGAGATCCTTACTGCACGTATAAGTTCTGTCAAGCACCTTAACTACTGGGAACGCTTGGAAGCACTTGACTTGTACTCGTTGGAACGCAGGAGGGAGAGATATATCATAATCTACACTTGGAAAATCTTGGAAGGAATGGTCCCAAATCTACACACAGAAATCACTCCCTACGAAAGTAAAAGACTGGGCAGGCGATGCAAAATGCCCCCAATAAAAAGTAGGGGCGCCATTGGTACACTAAGGGAAAACACCATAAGTGTCCGGGGCCCAAAACTGTTCAACAGCCTCCCATCAAGCATTAGGGGAATTGCCAATAAACCCGTGGCTGCCTTCAAGAGAGAGCTGGACAGATACCTAAAGTCAGTGCCGGATCAGCCGGGCTGTGGCTCGTACGTCGGACTGCGTGCGGCCAGCAGTAACAGCCTGGTTGATCAGGCCCTGATCCATCGGGAGGCCTGGTCATGGACCGGGCCGCGGGATCGTTGATCCCCGAAATAACCTCCAGGTAATCGCTAAACCAGTATGGGTCTTGGGGCTCTTGGCAAATGGGAGGTCCTAGGATCCTAGGAAAGTGAGGGTAGCTCAGATTCCTTGGAACATGAGCCTTTCACTTACCTCAAGGGGCTTCATGGTCATGGATCCTCTAATGTACTCACCTCGTTATGTTTGCTGGGGGTCGAGGCACTGCCCGTGGCCTGCTTCAGTTACTGCAGTGGTATCACGGATTTCATAACGTACATTCATATTGTATACCTCTTCATGGGAGGTGCCTTGGTGGCCATGAAAAGCTCTTGATCTAAGGATCTAGAGTTATCCAACCCTTGTATTGAACCATATTATCTCCCAGTCTTTTATTGCTATATGATCCTTACAGGTTTAGCGGTTCCTCATAGTGATTTATTTGATGTTGACACTAGGTGACACATTATGGTCAAGATGACACAAGGTGACACAAGGTGACACATTATTGTCAAGATGACACAAGGTGACACAAGGTGACACATTATTGTCAAGATGACACAAGGTGACACAAGGTGACACATTATGGTCAAGATGACACAAGGTGACACAAGGTGACACATTATTGTCAAGATGACACAAGGTGACACATTATGGTCAAGATGACACAAGGTGACACAAGGTGACACATTATGGTCAAGATGACACAAGGTGACACAAGGTGACACATTATTGTCAAGAAGACACTAGGTGACACATTATGGTCAAGATGACACAAGGTGACACAAGGTGACACATTATTGTCAAGATGACACAAGGTGACACAAGGTGACACATTATGGTCAAGATGACACAAGGTGACACAAGGTGACACATTATTGTCAAGATGACACAAGGTGACACAAGGTGACACATTATGGTCAAGATGACACAAGGTGACACAAGGTGACACATTATTGTCAAGATGACACAAGGTGACACAAGGTGACACATTATTGTCAAGAAGACACTAGGTGACACATTATGGTCAAGATGACACTAGGTGACACAAGGTGACACATTATTGTCAAGAAGACACTAGGTGACACATTATGGTCAAGATGACACAAGGTGACACAAGGTGACACATTATTGTCAAGAAGACACATGGTGACACATTATGGTCAAGATGACACTAGGTGACACATTATGGTCAAGATGACACTGGGTGACACATTATGGTCAAGATGACACTAGGTGACACATTATGCCCAAGATGACACTAGGTGACACATTATGCCCAAGATGACACTAGGTGACACATTATGCCCAAGATGACACTAGGTGACACATTATGCCCAAGATGACACTAGGTGACACATTATGGTCAAGATGACACTAGGTGACACATTATGGTCAAGATGACACAAGGTGACACATTATGGTCAAGATGACACTAGGTGACACATTATGGTCAAGATGACACTAGGTGACACATGGTCAAGATGACACTAGGTGACACATTATGGTCAAGATGACACTAGGTGACACATTATGGTCAAGATGACACTAGGTGACACATTATGGTCAAGATGACACTAGGTGACACATTATTGTCAAGATGACACTAGGTGACACATTATTGTCAAGATGACACTGGGTGACACATTATGGTCAAGATGACACTAGGTGACACATTATGCCCAAGATGACACTAGGTGACACATTATGGTCAAGATGACACTAGGTGACACATTATGCCCAAGATGACACTAGGTGACACATTATGCCCAAGATGACACTAGGTGACACATTATGGTCAAGATGACACTAGGTGACACATTATGGTCAAGATGACACAAGGTGACACATTATGGTCAAGATGACACTAGGTGACACATTATGGTCAAGATGACACTAGGTGACACATGGTCAAGATGACACTAGGTGACACATTATGCCCAAGATGACACTAGGTGACACATTATGGTCAAGATGACACTAGGTGACACATTATTGTCAAGATGACACTAGGTGACACATTATGCCCAAGATGACACAAGGTGACACATTATGCCCAAGATGACACTAGGTGACACATTATGCCCAAGATGACACTAGGTGACACATTATGCCCAAGATGACACTAGGTGACACATTATGGTCAAGATGACACAAGGTGACACATTATGCCCAAGATGACACTAGGTGACACATTATGGTCAAGATGACACTAGGTGACACATTATGCCCAAGATGACACTAGGTGACACATTATGGTCAAGATGACACTAGGTGACACATTATGGTCAAGATGACACTAGGTGACACATTATGGTCAAGATGACACTAGGTGACACATTATGGTCAAGATGACACTAGGTGACACATTATGCCCAAGATGACACTAGGTGACACATTATTGTCAAGATGACACTAGGTGACACATTATGGTCAAGATGACACAAGGTGACACATTATGCCCAAGATGACACTAGGTGACACATTATGGTCAAGATGACACAAGGTGACACATTATGCCCAAGATGACACTAGGTGACACATTATGCCCAAGATGACACTAGGTGACACATTATGCCCAAGATGACACAAGGTGACACATTATGCCCAAGATAACACAAGGTGACACATTATGATCAAGATAACACAAGGTGACACATTATGGTAAATATGGAACAAGGTGATACATATTAAGGTAACTATGTAACAAGGTAACAAATACATATAACGATCATGTTATACAGAGACATGTTGTGAACAGGAAACAGAATGTAACCATATTGCTTTTATATTCAAGATCAATAACTGATCATTCAACATTAGAGTTGCTACTTTCTTAAATCTAAGATAAGATACATCTGGTCTAATAAGAACATAAGATAAGAAAGAAGGAACACTGCAGCAGGCCTACTGACCCATGAAGTGAAACTATCCTTAACACGTTCAACTTAGTTTCGCTTAATGCTATAACATCCAGTTTCTTTTCATTCGGAACATTCACAATCACCTCTTATCAGTACTTCATCCACACACATTCTAACATTCTATCTTTAAAATGTAAGAATGTTCGTGTGCTGATAAGGGCTTCTGGAGATCTGGAGTTTATCTGGAGAGAGTTCCGGGGGTCAACGCCCCCGCGGCCCGGTCTGTGACCAGGCCTCCTTAGGTCAGTGTCCCAGGATGCGACCCACACCAGTCGACTAACACCCAGGTACCCATTTTACTGATGGGGAACATAGACAACAGGTGGAAAGAAACACGTCCAATGTTTCTACTCTGGCTGGGAATCGAACCCAGACCCTCGCCGTGTGAAGCCAGAGCGTTAACCACCAGGCCACCAGAGCCAGCAGTAGACAGAAATATATAAATCTGTAACCCTCACCCATTATTGATTTCACAGATGCTAGTGAAAGGCTCTTGATCCAAACCACTGACACTACTCTCTCTATCCTTGGATCAAGCCTAGGTTACCTGTCATTCTGCAGGCACTGTATCAGCCTTACAGTTTAGCTGCATCTTACGAGCATAAATACGACGCCGTCTCTTCTGTGTAATTTTCTCTCGAGTCAATGATCATTACTGTTACGTACACTAATCAGTCAAGAATCCTTTAATACCTAACTAGAGATTAATGTACTCCTCCCTCTACGTGTATATATATATATATATATATATATATATATATATTTATATATATATATATATATATATATATATATATATAATATATATATATATACATACATTTACAAAAAATTGTTTTGTTGATATTCAGTAGTAAAGTTCGACTTACGACAGGTTTCTCGGAACCGAACTCGGTCGTAAGTCGGATGGTAGGTGTGTGTGTATATATATATATATATATATTATATTATATTATATATATATATATATATATATTATATATATATATATATATATATATATATATATTATATATATATATATATATATATATTATATATATATATATATATATATATATATTATATATATATATATATATATATGATATATATATAGTAGGTTGGTAGACAGCAACCACCCAGGGAGTACTACCGTCCTGCCAGATGACTGTGAAACAAAAACCTGTAACTGTTTTGCATGATGGTAGGATTGCTGGTTTTCTTTTTCTGT